GCTGCTCGTGGCATTCGATGAGCCTACGCCCTATTCTGATGGTTTCTGAGTTGAATCCCATTCTCCCATCTGGACAAGGGCAAGGGCAAGGGCAATCGCTTGAGTTGACCCTACTCACCGGTGAGCGATCAACCCCAATGAAAGTAGCCCGCTTACATAGTGCCTGAGTCGATTAGATCGACGCTACGAATTTCGTTGGAAAGTGTCAGAGTCGAAGAGCTGGCAATAAAAGGATTAAGAAATGTATATCACCAGGGCGCTTGATCGTGTTTATCCTCTCACTTTAAACCTTCTAGCGCCAGCGCTTCGACTCGGGCACTTTTCAACGAAATTCGTAGCGTCGATCTAATCGACTCTGACTAAAAGGGTTAAATGTCGATACTCTGCTAAATCGCTGGGGCTTGGAACGAGGCGTCTCTCCGCGCGCATTTTATCTTCAGAGGCAGCCGAACGATTGGCAAATTCAAGTAGGAAATTTCATTGTGAAAATGGGCATAGATCTGATTCTTAAAGGCACTGACTCACACAGTGCTTCCAATGAAACCCGTTGTCGCGTTTGTCCGTAATTAGCCTGTCCACATTCGCAAAATTGTCGCCGGGAATGACCGCCTGTGTCTGGTTTGGCCATGGGAGATCTTTTGTACTTTTCCTTGTCACAGGTGTTGGCGCCGATTATACAGGTACGGGGAAAAAAATGGCAAATAATTTGAGTCGCTGTGGCCGTTTTAATAAGAATTTTGCCGAATTTAGTGAGAATTCAGCTTGTTTTTCGCTTCAAAATTGTTTATATCAAAGTTAAGGCGAATATTCTACAGCAGGTCTGAAATTTATACGAACAGAGACTCCCTTTGAAATTTTTAGATGACGTTTTTTTTTAGATTGGCTACACGCAATGGAGGATAAGGTGAGTGAAAAATTACCTCTCAATGCAATATCGACATGTGCTAAAAATGACTGAGCGTGGGTTGAAATCAGCTTTACCGAGTGCTGCGGAATTTTCTGTGTCACACTTGCCTTAGTAATGATCACATAATTGATGCGAATAGCCGAATGTTAGCCAACTTTTCCAATGGAAGACCAGCTACATTCGCACGAAATTTATTGAGATTTGATTTCAACATTCCCGAGACAGAGCGCCTCAAAGCCGTTACGTTTTAGGGTATATACTGCGTACCAGATATCGCATTGCGCTTCTTTGGACGCACCAGCTATCACGTCCGCCGTTTGCATTTGGCTACAGCGAAAATGACCACATTCAGTCAGTGTGGCCACCCTGCGTTGCAGACGCAGGAACGCTTCTAGCCCTGCCCGATGGTGCTGGGTGTTGCCAGCGTAACCGAGGTGGCCACTGTAGTTTTTCCTAGATTCATTTGAAATACCCTTTTATGTCAGGTCACGTTTTCTCATGCTGTGAGAAGGAAAAAATTGCTAGTTAGGAAATGCCTATGTAGGAGCTGAATTATTGCGCCATTGGATGAGGTTTTGTTGGTCTTGTCAGTTATTGTAGACTTTTGGATGTCTCGAAAAAAAAAATAACAAGGATCTTCTAAGGAACAAACGGATTGATCTGGAAATGCGATTGAAGTTTCTTAGTTCTTGTGGCTGAGATTTCCGTCCGGGTTTGTGCCTGGATCTGATCGTCTGAGTATAAAGATTTCCTGTATTGATTTGCCACTGGCGGGCGAAAGTTGTGCGAGTCTATGCGCGTAAATGTCCCTACCTTCTCGAGTAAAAGGAACCAGGGAGTAAGGGACATTTATGGTACCATTCAATAGTAATTGGAAGAAAGTCACTCGAAGGTAAGAGCACGGCGGATTTTTTCTTTCGAAGAAAGTGGAGCGGAAAAAATTTGAAGCGAAAAAATAATCCCCCTACTGCTAACTCATATTGCCACGAATAATCATTTTGCCGAAGCAATTCCGTTTCGAGTCGTCCCATTGTGAACGGGGAATGGGAAGTCGTTTGGTCATTGCCTTCCCAAGTATCGGATTTTCATCCCGGTTATTCATTAGAGACCGATGTCGAAAGTATGATGGCCGTCCTCAAGAGAGGCACACATGCGGCCTTCTCGGCAGGAGACAGATTGCACCATCGATCCCTTTCGAGCGAATCCAATCCATTTCCTCCCAGTCTGGTGTGATTTAGGAATCCCTTCTCGATCGTATGTCGGGAGTCAAAGGGCGGCCGCCGACGGATACGTGAGGGATGCGTGACGTGCCGATGGTGGGATCGGGTGCATCCGAGTCTCGTGACGTGGGGGCACGTGCCGGGTTCCGGTCGTGCTTGATCCCTTGCATTCCGCGTGCACATGCACCTTTGAGATGTCTGTTATTTACACATGAATATTGAATGATGAGAAGGGATGGGTGTGCCGTCGGCGTCCAGTGATGGTCCGACTTTAGTCGCTTTCAAAGTCCGGTTCCAGGCCGTAGTTGTAGTGTCCTGACGCTGCGACGGGATCAGGAACACACATGGATTTGCAGATGCGTCTGCGGTTACAGTTGAGGAACGATTGTTCTAAAATCGGAGAACGTGTCCATTGTGTGATTAGTATTGGATTACAGCTCTGATAGGCGTCTCGATTCACGTCGTTTGGAGACCAGAGTTTCGAGCCTTCATTTCGCCAGTTAGGTCCTGAGGCTCCATCCGAGACCAGTGCTAGTGCTGCAACGCTCGGAATTCCGACGAGACGTCAGTCATCAGCGCAGCCATACGTTTTACAACTTCTTTCATCACCCACGGACTGAGATGTTTCGCTGTGTTCATTTCTCTGTAGAGGGCTGCAAGTTTGAGGGAATGAAACGAGGGGTCCTTCATTGGCTTCTAATTGAATGAGAACCCCACTCTATCCACTTGTAAGCGAGAATTCGTCACTGTCACCTGAGTCCCCGTTCTCTCACATTGGGAGATAACTTGATACAATTACTCTGGTGTACCGTGGGTTTTGGAGCTTTTTGTTGACTTGGAATGAACCCGAAATGAGAGAATCGCAACTGAACGTAAGGTTTAACTGAACTGCTAGCTTCAGTTTCGAGTCACGAATAGGAAGCTGCTTTCGATCCATCCGTTCTCACCCGGCCTGCATTAAAGAGATCTTAATCAAAAGGAGGGTGAAGGGGCAGGGCAAGGAGAGGAGGAAGAGGAATAAGAGAAAAAAAATGTTTTTCGGGTGACCCATCTGGTCTTCCGCAACTCCCCCCACCTCTCTTGATGGAATTACTACCACTCTTGTTCCTCCCCGGTCCCATACACACGCACGCACACCCACACATGCTCACATACTGTCTCTCTCACTCTCCACTCTGTTACTCTTCCAATTGGGTTTACTCTGGACCTTGTTTGCCCGCCTTTTTTTGCGTCAGGAAGTCTTCCATTTCCGACGGAGTTTCATTCACCGCCTGCTCCGGTATCGACCGATTGGGAGCTCCGTCTCGATGAGACGGTTGGCCCAGTTGGTGCCCTGTCTTTAAGAAGGGACGCCGCTGACGAGCTTCATTGGCCGCTTGATCTTGCTCGAAACCGCCCCAAGACGACGCGCTCGTCTCCCAGCGGACTGTTGAAGTTGAACTTGACCGCGTCTCAGGGGCGCAGTGGGCGAGAATGGATGAGGGGAAAATGGAATCACGGAGGGAAGAGTAGTGTCATTTTTCTTCGTCTCCTCATGAACAGAGCCACTGCCCCCACCATTTATCCTCCGATTTCTTCTCTCTTTCTCTTTTCTCCCTCTGCTGGCTGGTTTCCTCTCTCCCCTCAGCCATGATTCCCGGCTGACGTCTTCTTCCTAAGTGTCCTTCGTTCGTCCTCAGGTGTTGACACCGATGGGACGAGGGGCTCTCGGAGGAGCAGGGAGATTTGTCCCATGCAAGTGATCAATCTTTTTGAGGATGAGGGCTCAGGTTTGCTGGGTGGAATGCCGCTCCTCTCCCAAGGGGGCAATCCATCCTGGGGATTTTGACACCTCATGGTTCGTCGATCGCGGAGGGATCCCATCCCATCTCGTCCTCGTTGCCCGATGAGAGAAACTGATGATGATGATGGCCCTTTTTTGGAGAGTGGGTCTTGCATTTTGCAGTAGCTCGGCGGATGGGCTCTTTCCTAGAGATCATACGGACAAAGAGAGAAGATGCATATATGAGCCTTTTTCCCCACGACCCATAATGTACAGTGCTCCACGTGTTTGACATACAGAGAGGGAGAAAGAGCATGCCTTTTCCTTGCTTCTCTCTAATGCAGCCATTGGGAGCAAGGAGTGAGGACTCTAATGAAGGAGAAAGAACCAGGTGGCTCGGGGTAATGCTCCCAGATGAATGATGCCGGCTCATTTTGCAGGGATTACAGGGTTGTGATGAATGAGACATTCTCGGTCCCGCCTTTCTCCATCGCTCGATTATATTTCCACGGCAGCCTCGCAACCGTCGAGCCAAGGAAATGCGTTAGTCCTCTGAAGGAATGGACCCATTATACCGAAAGCTTGATTTCTGGAGTGGCAATATTTCTCCACCTATACCCGGGGTGAGGGATTGCCTTGGCCTCGACCGTTCGATGAGTCAGGAGGAGGAGAAGGAGGAGGCCTGTCGTTGCCGGCAATAATAAGGGCGTTGCTGTTGAATAAGGAATGAGGAGCATATGAAATGAAATGAAAGAGGCCGCGCGGTCTCTCCTTTCTGAGCCTTCTTGATTAAAAAATGAAGTTATGGATAATGTCATCCCCTCAAGTTGCCCGGCAGAAATGTTCTCATTCCTCCTCTCGATGTAATCACGAACTTTATGGCTTTTAACTTGAGGAACTTTTTTTTTTTGGGGGGGGGGGGGGGGGGGGGGGGGGGGGTTCCGGTT